AAAACTTCAGATTTTGTTGAAACTTCGCCTATTGGGTTTACTTACCATGCTGATCACGAATAACGTATCAGCTTCACTCGGTAAAGCTTTACTGTGGGGTACGGTAAGTGCATGATCGAAGATCAGAGAAGATCAAAATCAGGGATTTGCCTGGAAATTAGTCTACTGTGGTTCATTGATATGCTGAATACAATTGACGTATCTGTACTGCACGATAGCACCTTTACGGTATAAAGTCAGACCATGGATTCGTATAGTTAGAAAAGAAGTTTAATACGCTATTTAAAAAAATTGCCAACAACTGTTGAGTCTCGAACGTCTCTAGAAGAACTTTCATGGCTGCCATGTAGTTTAGCTAGAAATCTCAAAAAAGCGCCTCTGACCGTTAAGGAAAAGGTCGTCTCTGAAGCCAAAGGGTAAAAAGGTTTAAGATAGCCAATTAAGACTTTGCCTTGTGAGAGGGTGGTTTTACAAGCCGTTTTCTACAGAAGCACCACCGTGGTAAATATTCTTCGTGATCAACGTATATTGTAACCCAAATAGGCGGAGTTTTGAACGTTATTGACTTCCCATTCTACAGCTACCGTATCTTTACAATAAGGCGTGATTGGATAAACGGATAGCTTTTTCATGATCAACTTATGAAATAATCACCTTAGGCGAAAAAACAGACGAAATAGCGATGGTACCTCTTAACGTACGGCTACCTTATCCTTACAGTAAGTCGCTACCGCAAGAAATGGGTGTTTTTTCATGATCAGCGTACCAGAAAACCTATGCGAAGTTTTCGACAGATTTGCCATGTTGACCTCCTACCGTATGCCCACCTAGATTTACTGCAGTGTGACATACTGGAAGATTCCTCTCAACGAGCTGGGTCTAACGCCGCTTTCCCATTAAAAATAATATCTATTTTGAACGAAGTTATGACAATGCGACGCTTTGCGACGGATTATCCCGCCGCGACAGATTTTTGTGTAAAATCACGTTTTTTTTGCAGTATGAGCTGTGTTGTAGTATCGGTTCACAATGAGGATGTTTTCACAAATCGACAAGTCTGGGGAATTTTTGAACATTATTTGTCTGATTGGCGCGTTACCGATAGGGTATATTAAGGCATATACCATCAATGTTAACATATGTAGCCCGATATTCATTTATGATTTGACGCATTAAGGCTGTTCTTTTAGAACCTAAGCTAGCAACATGGTAGGTATTGAAGTTGCTCTAAAGCAATCAATGTAAACCTCCTAACTCGAGCTTGTTCAACTGATTGTAGAATTTTGGAGATGAGACATTCTTAAAATCTTATCTACTTCATTTTACAAGTGTTATTAAAATTGCTGATTTTGTTTAGAGATCCGCAACTAGAAAGTCCTAACGCAGGCATCTTATACGGCCCCCAACTAAACCCATGACCAGTTCAGGGCACAGTCCAACAATGGAACATCATATGAAAAGCTAAAGAAAGCACCATCATAAACCTATCAATTTGACGGCAATGCTAAAGAATGTGCTTTCAGCACGTTCTCGTTTAGTATCGTTTTTGGATGCGAATTATTTGTGGAAACTAAGATATTATCAAAGCCATTTTCTTCCCTTTACCACTGTCTGATATTCATTTGAGATAAGAATACTTTTTAATGTCACGTGAGGCATTGCAACAACTGTGGAATGCTCTCCGTCTCTCCGAGAAAATAAAGAGCTGTAAATTTCAGATTTGTTGTATTGATTGATTGACAATGAACTCAATGTTGCACCTTTTCAAGATGTATACAGACTATCTCAAAATTTATTCAAAGTAAAAATCAACTTTTCCGACAAGGGATGTACAGTTTCGTACAAAATTTTCTAACTGGTCTATCTCTTATACAAATCATTTCATATCACATTTAAAACCTTTTCACACAAGCATCCATACTAATATGGATGTGAATCACCTGCATCACAACAACTCATCAAACATCTACAAGTTACTATAGTTTTACAGAAGAATTTAATTGCCTAAAAGACAAAATAATATACATTATTGCATAGAAGTAGCACTAGTAGAGCAAATTAATGTTATGCACAGTGAAAAAATAATTATGGATTTAATTAATGCTAGGAAACCATGTCCTCGAATTTATTCTCTAATTATTGCAAAGTCGCTCCCGTTTCATGCGTGTTGCCACAGCGGCGACTAGAGCTGCTCCACGACCACTGCCATCTTCGGAAAGCATTAGCTGGTACTAAAAGTTCTGATTTTATTAGGGTGTATTTGGTAAAAACGCATAGAAAAAAGTAGAATTTTTCACCTCAAGATCGCCTTCTATGAGCTGATCAATTTTCTCGTCAAGTAATCGCGGGAATGTTGGATGGAAACGGTACACGGACCCATCAACGCCTACTGTCACATGAGGTCGTTTCATACGATTTAGCAATGTAGCAATTCCGGCTGCTGTCATATGAGCTGCTCTGAAATGTGGGGTCTTTTAAGTATGGCCAAATCAGAACATTGGAGCCATTTAAATGATGATGGAACTTTACGAGATATCTGACCTTTTACCTCCATAGGAAAGGGGGGGGGGGAACCTAAGAAACCCTGCAAAAAATGATGCTAACCTTGTACTGATGAGACTGCATACATAAGCTACATTAGCACAATCAGCGCCGGAAACGTTTTCGATGCCAATATCTTCTAAAATCTGATAAGTCTTCTGGAACGTTCGCTCCTCTTGCTCAAGAAGATCACTAAATGGCAGTAATTTACCAATTTTTTGAAGCGATTCAGCATTCCACTAAATCTCACCTCTCAATTTCCGAAACAAACTTTGTCGGGAAACAGCCATGCTGAGAAATTGCATCACAATCACCATTGAATAATAGTCCTTCCTTGGCTAAAGCTTCAAGTACTACCCGAACTAATTCACCCATATACATTCCAGAAATCATCTTTTCAAACCTAAACACTTCTTATAACACCATTTCAGAAGACTAAACAAAAAAGGCATACAGTTGTTTTCCCGGATTTATGCTAGTCGCGTCAACTGCCTTATCGAATTCTGTGCGTATTGAGTCCAATGAGCCATCGTCACCAAATGCTCCCCACTCAGTATTGATAATCATCTGAAATCATCTCTCTACTGCGTACCAACCTTTGAGCCTAAGAAGCTCATTTTACCTCATCGGGTAGACCATCACTATCGCATTCGCCACATAATTTTTCGATACGGCATAGTTTTTCCATATAACAAGCATTTGTTCCCGTTCCAACGATAACACCAACCTGAAAGGAACGACTACAT